TTTTTTTTTTGTACCGGGAATAGAACTCATTTCCTTGCAATTAGGAGGCAGGTAACTGAACCATTGAGCCAAATCCCCAGCCCAGTGGGTGGTTTTAAATGCAGATGAAGCTTAGCTCCCTTGTCTGGTACTCACCTCCTGCTGTGTGATCCAATTCATAACAGTGCATGGACAAAGTCTGCAGCCCAGGGTTGGGGAAACCTGTCTGGAGCAATAGTCTCTAAATTTTGCAAGCCTCAGAAGTACCTGAATACTTGTCAAGTTACAGCTGAGATACCTTACCCTTTAGCTCATGTAACAGTACGTATAAACTTTGGGCAAAATATAGAGACTTTTTCAAATACTAGGTTAAAACTCTACATATCAGACTGTTCATTTGCTTGTCTTGACTATTCTCTGCTCATGTTCCTAGACAGTACATATTAGTAGTCCTAACTGCTTATGTAGTTATTATTTTCTTTACAATTATAATAGATAATTGTTGAAAGAATCCCCATGTTTTGCATTACTTTTCAAATCTCTATGCAATAAGTCAATTGCAGCATGTGGAAGACAGCCATTCAGGTGGTCCCGAGGAATGACAAGAATACATTGCCTTTAAATTCTAAACACATTAAAGTCTCCCTTGTAAACACAAATGATCTGTTTCACAATTAATTTAAAGGGAAGCCATAACTGTTTTAATAACATTCTTCCCCATCCTAGGGGAACATCTTCCCTTAATGAGATGTGAAATATATATATATATATATATATAGTTAAAAACCCACAAAACTAATAGCTAAGTGAAACAAAGAATAAAATGCAGCATCTCATATGAAAAAAGATAAAAATTTTAAAAGCACAGTTTCTGGGACTGGGGATTTAGGTCCGTGGTTCCAACACCTGCTTCACAGGCACAAGGAACCAAGTTAGATCCCCAGTACAAAAAAAAAACACCCAAAACAAAACAGTTTCTTGTTCACTATGAGATAGAATGTCAGAAGATAGCACAGGCTGTGACAGTAAGGCTTCCTAATAGGTGTGCCCCTTGTAATGATTGCTTTTTCTCTAATGGGGAACATAAAAGAAGCTGTCCTCAGTGGTCGTTTGGTGTAGTAAGAGAACCCCAGGCTCTGAATTTAATCCATCACCTAGGAGATGCTTTTAGGATGGCTGAAAATTGTCTACTGGGTGTTTTACATTTATACGATAAAAACTGATAACTGAATGTGTTCATTAGCTCCAACATGGGTATCTTATAACAATGTATGTATCCCCAGAGCACACTTTATATTTATTAAATACATGATTTATATTCTGTAATTATGTCTCAAAAATCTCAGGGAAAAAATCTTCATGAAGATGACTCAAGGATAAAAAATGACTAGAGCATAATCACACAATATACTTATAGCTAGGAAGGCCCCTCCGCTGACATTTCCAGTCTTTTGTGTCTGTATACACATGAATGTGTGTGTGCTTGTTCATCTGTGGAGGATTGTGTGTTCCTTGAGCAACACCCCATGGCACTATTCTTCCATCAGAAGGAAGTGATGGGATGGAGAAACTGAGGAATATTAATATCAGTGAAGAATGTATACATTCAAACTAAATTTGGAATTCTGGCTTGAGTGAAATGATATGAAAGAAATGTTAAAGCTATCAATATTCATATGGCATGAGCATACAATAGGATGTGTAGCAAGAAAATTAAATCAAATATTTTTGAAAATTAGACAAGATTCAGAAAGGTTATGAAAAATATAGGAAATTATCATAAATTCTACATGAGAAAAAATTTAATTTAATTGCATTTATACAATTGCTCAAAATTACCTTATAGATAGTACATGCATGATAGAAACATCAGAAAATCTTGAAGGGATTTCAAGCCCTAGACAACCAAAAAAGTCACACCATCACTATACTTTCTTTAAATATTTTTTTGCAAGAAATAAAAATGTCATCTTTGAAAACCTTAATATCATGATCGCTTATACATTTAATATTTTTTTTACTTCTACAGGGTAAACATCACACTAAGTTCAAATACATAAATTCCCCTGAATTTTCATTTTATTTAGTGTTATTCTGTCAAATATCAGCTTCATGGAATTCTACTTTTAAATCATATAATAAAAATCTACTGTATATGTATACCAATTACAACTGGTGTCCTTATGTAATTTTGTTTTTTGAAAAATGTTGTGATATATATCCCTCCTCACTCCATGCTAATTATCAGATTTTTGCACTATATTTTACAGTAGAATGTACTCCTATAGTCTTTAAACGATAGGTGCTATGACTACTGCCGTTTGCTGATGACCACATATATAATGAAGAGCCATGCCTGGGAGACACCACCATATTTAAAATGGATTTTCTTTGGAGGGAATGGGAAAAAATAAGATTCACCAAGGTGGTGGATTATGTATACTTTCCATATTATTATGTCACTTAACAAGACATGAAAGAATACAGTGTAATAAGAACTGCTAAACTGTGGGAGGGAGATGGGAGGTCAGGATGTATGTGTGGTTTTAAGATATTTATGTGATAAATATTAGCATGAAACACAAGGTTTAAGAAGGTTGTCCTCTCTGACTGCACCTTTTTACTCAGATTCTTCTGAGTTCCCCTACAGGGAAAGAACAGAAGATCTCTACCTAGCAATGAAATTGTACTAAAATATCTGTGCTCATGCTCAAATAACGAATGAATGACTATACTTTGGGTTACTTGAAAGATTTCTCTGAGAATGAGGCCCAGCAAGTCACCTGTTCATGGAAGACAAAAAATATCTGTCCTCAGAAAGGGCAGACTTACGGACTCTATCAGTGGCTCTACACCTGGAAAATCCATCTCTGGTAGACAGTATAGTTATTGCTTCCTGACTGATCAGGACTTTTGAGCTAGATTTTTACCCCCTTACTCTCACAGTCTGTATCCCTCAGAGATCAATTTCCAAAGCTCTTAATTAACAGGAGCCAGAAACATTACTTTCATTATGATCCCAGGAGCATATATCCCTAAACAACAACTCTAAGAAGGAGAGTAATTTAAGGTGAATGATTTTTTGACTCTTAGACTCTTAACCTTTTAGAATTGAAGATTTCAACAATGTAATTTTTATCAACTTACTTTAAAATATGTAAACTCTTTCTTAACAGATGTGCTGAATATCTACAGTTTTGAAGATATTATTTAGCTATGAACACAGCACCTGAGAATGTACTTCCTGAAATCTCCAGCTATAATATATATGAGGTTGATAACTACTTTCACCTAACTTCTTGAACATAAAATATTAGTCATCTGACATAATGTACAGCACATACTCTGATACAAAAGAAGTCTGAATTGCATTTTGATTTTTATAGCACTGAAAAAGGAGGGAAAATTTGTTGTTTTACCCTAAGCTGAATCTTCTTATGAGAATGATGGTCATTCAACTCTAATAGCCGTACTGTTTGTGGGGCTAAGGGAGGAGAAAGTGGGGGAATATTGCAAGGCAGACATAGGACATTAACCAAATTGTGCCTCAGTACTTCAATAGCTGTTATAGTTGAGGGACTTTGAATATTTTATGCATACAAATAACCTAGTAAAGAATTCTCATGTCACATGTGGTCATTCATTTTAACAGTATTGACATAATTAATTGAGGAAATGAGATGTGAATATTAGAACTTTTTTAAACTACCCATCCTGATGTTGGATTCCTTCTCTGTCAAAAGCCATGCAATTGTCATCTTTTATCGTCCCACATTCCTGATCCTCTTCATCATAAATGTCCAAATATGGACACAGCTTTCTTCTGCAGTGGATTCCAGGTTTCATTTCCTAGGTTCTCAGAGTCACAATTATGCTGGTGAGCAATGGCAGGAAGAAGGAAGTCAGCTCAACTGAAAAACAAGATGAAATAGAAATGGGTGATATTTTCATCCTTCATCAGTCCTATTTTACACTTCTGACATTCTACCCTTACACTGGTTCTTTGACTGCCCACATTTAAAATGGAATTCTTAATTTCCTGCAGGTTTAATTCTTTATGAAACCGATTATACATGTTTTTGTTGCTTTATTTTCTTCAGATAGCATTTTATTTTTTTATTGAACATTTACTTTTTCTGTTCATTACCTGTTTAATTTTATCAACTTTGACCTTAGTAAGCACCTATTGATATGTTTGTGTGTGTGTGTGTGTGTGTGTGTGTGTGTGTGTGTTGTCTTTTGTCATTTCATTTAATTTAGCTGTTTGGATGTTTATATCACTGGTCATAATAATGCCCTTATGGTTCACTCACATAATAGTGTGTGGTAGAATTTCTTTTTGATTTTTAGGGAGGTGTAATATTTCATATATCACATTGTATGTTTCCATTCATCTATCAATACACACTGGTATTGCTCCCAGTTTTGGGCTCTTGTAAATAATGTAGCTATGGATATGTACATATAAATGGATCTTTGAGACTCTGTTTTCGCTTATTTTGAGCATACATCTAGAAGAAGAATTGCTGGATCCTATCATGATGCTCTTTTTAATATTGGGATGCATGGACACACCATTTTCTATATGGGTTACCCTATGTTATATAAATTCCCCCTCCATCTGTGTACAAGGTGTCTAGTTTGTTTGCATTCTCAACAACACATGTTATTCTCTGTGTTGTTCTTTTTCATAGCCATTCTAATGGGTGTGAGGAGGATGGGTACTTCTTTTCCAATAGTGAGAAAAGAATAGCCCTAGATTCTACCATCCTGCCATCCAGCCATCTGAGTCCTGTGCTTGGCCTGTTATTCCTATAGAGGCTGTTTTTGACTGTTAGTCAATTTTATCCAACCCATCTATAGAACAGTGACCTCTGACATGATCCTCCCTCACCAACTATAACTTCCACTAGGAAACATGTGAGTGCCAGGCACTATCCTGCCAGATGTCCTCAGCTTTAATTCAGTGTTTCCTCTAACTGGTCCCCGGAGCATCCACATCACCCAGGTCCCTGCTGGAAATGCCAGTTCCCCAGCCCAAACCCAGACCTCCTGAATCTCTGAAGTTAGTTGCGCAGCCCTTTGTGCTGCACAAAGTACCCCAGAGAATCCAGGATTTGTGGCTCAAGCCTGTAATTCCGGTATTGTGGAGGCTGACATTGGGGGATCAAGAGTTGGAGGCCAGAACATACCAAGCTCAAGGCTGGGCTGGGCTACAGAAAGAGAACGTGCCTTTAAATAAAACAAAACACAATACTCCCAGAGGACATCCCCTAGGTGAGATCCAATGTTCTTTAGCTCATCTAATGCCCTTTAAGAAACCCAATTTAATGACAAGGAAGTAGACACAGATGGTAGAAGAACTTGCCCAAGATGCCTTCCTCAGAAATTTGGAGTCAGGAAGAGAGACCCAGGAATCTACATTCTAACACCTCCCCTTGCTATGCTCTATCCAAGTGACACTTTGTGGGGTAAGGTTAGAAGGTCTTGACTCAAAGAAAGCGCTCCTCTGAGCTTTCTGGTTGACCTACACTCAAAAGGGGATTTGTTTTCATTTCCCATTTTAATTGCAGAGCTTCAATGGCTCCTGTTTACAAAACAGAAAGGAACCAGTGTCATAAAACTGATTCTCAAAACAGGGTCCTCGGAACCAGCTAAATCAGTCTCATCTGAACCTATTAAAAATGTAGATTCCTGGCAAGGAGTGGTGGAACACTTTTCTAACATGAACGAGGCCATGGGTTGTATCTTCTGCAACGCGCACACACACACACACACACACACACAGAGGCAGTTTCCTAAATAAATAAGATATATTTTTTTAAAAATTTAATTAAAAATTTAAAAGAATTTAAATTAATTAGAAAAAAGTAAGTTAAATATACTTAAAATTAAAATTAAACAAAGAGAAATGCAGAGTCCTAGGCCCTGTTCCAGGCTATTTTCCCAGGCAGTATGTTTGAACCATTAAAACTGGCATCTGCAATTGGGGATGTAGCTCAGTAGTAGAGTACTAGTCTAGAAGATGTGAAGACCTGGGTCCCATCTCCAGTACTGCAAAGCTAACAAACAGAAATTATAACAAAGCAGCATGTGCCACAAAAGACAGCAAATGTTGCTGAGGATACGGAGAAATTAGAAACCTTGTACAGTATTAGTGGGAATGCAAAATGGAAACTGGTGCTGACACTATGGAAAACAGGATGGATGTTCCTAAAAATATTAAAACTATCCTATGATCCAGCAATTTCGCTCCTTGGTCTGTGCCTCAAAGTTATGAAATAAACATCATTAAGAAATATGTGCACTCCCTCAGACACAGCAGCGTTATTTATCAGATCCAAGACGTAGCAACAACCAAACTGGCTATGGGGATGAATAGATAAGGAAATTGTGGCAGCACACACAGTGGGATGTGAATCACCTTCAGAAATGGAAATTCTTCAATCTTGTGACAACATGGGTGAGCCTGGGGAGCATTAAATGAAATAAGCCTGGCACAGAAAACTCACACCACACAATTTCAGCTACATGAGGAACTCACAGCAACTCTATTCATAGAAGGAGGGTGAAATAGTGCTTTCTGGGAGCTGAGGGGCGGGGACAGGAGGGAGTTCTAATCCACAGACATAAAGCAGTTTAGCGAGAAGCGTAGTCTCTAAAAATCTCTTTTACAACAGCACATGCTTAAATAATCTCAACAATAATAAACAACACATTGAAATTGACTGTAATAGGCTATACAATCAAACATTGGAAATGGACCCATCTCACACTTTGCATTTATCACAACAAAATGAAACTTTGAAAATAAGTGAAATAGTAGAAATAGCCCACAGAACAATGATACAAAATAACAAACCAATATTTATGCTTTCTGAAGCCCCAGAGGGGAGGCTGATTTCAAGGAGAAACAGGCAGAAACTTCAAGTATGGTGATAGCACACTTACAGCAAACCTAGCCTTTTGCTCTGTCTGGATTCTTTGGACTGGCACCTATAAACCACAGCATTCTGCAAAGGCTTAACTACACATAAATGCAGGGTACATATTTTTTTCCCAATGGGCTGTGACCCTTTTATCAGACTGGATGTGTACAGGTGTCCTTTTGAGACTTAAGTGCTCCTGTGAGGGCCAACATAGTAGACTATAACTTAGAACTCCTTTAATGTAACTCTTGACATAAACTTTGTGCTTCCATGAGATAAATAGTGTGCACTCCAACCTAAAAAATACCTTTCTGGGACATTTGTTTGATCATTCCATACCTGTTTCCCATTTTCTACCCCTTAAAAATAATCCCAGTGTTTCATCATGATGGCAAGGCCCTCTCTTCTTATCTCCAAATTCTCTTGTGCAGTGTATAGATAAAGCCTTAACTTTTATGTCCTCTGTTGGTAAATCCCTTTACTACTCACGGTACTGGAATTTCACATGCTGCACCTCACAGCGCAGCATGGATGTGTCTTCAAAGCTCAGAACCATGACAAAGTTTTCATGAAGTTTTATTTCTTCTTGCATTCAATATCTCTCTTTAAGTAAAGGGGAGGGACATCCAGCCAGCCAATTTCAATCTCCCCCAGGGATCCTTTTAAATCTTGCCACTGCCTGTCTGAGATCAAGTAGGTCAATCCAAGACCTTTTTCTGCCTGTCTAACCTTCTCATCTCAAATGTATTCCCTCCTCCTTCAGGAAGAGTCCTTTCCCTCCACACCACCCAAGTTCAGTACTTCTGATCTTCTCTGTGAATTGAATTTGTCTCCCTCAACATTCAAATTTGTAAGTTGTGGTGCCTGACCTTAGTACGTCTAAGAGTGAGACTTTATATAGAAATGGGGTCATTGAAGATATAATTAGTTAAGATGAGGGCAGGACGAGAGAGGAAAAGAGAAAGATAAAATGATTAAGATGCAATACATGTATGTTCCAACTACTAAAGGTGAATGCAGTTGTTATGGATGGAAAAACAAACAAACAGGAAAATAAGAAAGACAAGGATGTACTGGAGTGGGGTGAGTAACAAGTCCAACATGAATAGCATTCTTCAAAAAGAAAAAAAAATATGCCTTAGAAACAGCCACACATCAGGTGAACCCCAAGTAAAAATAAAGCCCAGCTTCGAAGCAAAGCTATCAGAAGTGAGGCAATGTTGCTCACCTTTCATCCCAGATCTCTGGGAGGCTGAGACAGCATAATCTCAAGTTAGAAATGAGCAAGATAGCACCTTAGAAATATTCTGTCTTAAAATTGAAAAAATGACAAAGGGCTTGGAATATAGATCAGTGTGAAGACCCTGGGTTCAATCCCCAGAATGGAAAAAATAGAAATATAAGAAAGAGGAGGAAGAATAAAAAGGAGAGGAGGAAAGGAAAAAGCTAGAGAATGCAAAGACCTCCAGCAAACCTACCAGATGCTAGGAGAGAGGCATGGAAAGGTTCTGAGCCCAAGCTACTGAAAGAATGATCTACATTTTCAAGCCTCCAGAACCGAGAATGCCATCGCTTGAAACTTCCAGTCTACAGTGCTCTGTTAAGGCAGCCTGAGAACATTAATACCACATGAAATCCCTGCATCTCTTCCTGCAGAGGTACTATTTCCCCATCTATATTTCCTGCAAGCCCTCAAAACTTATAGGGGCTCATGGCAGGGCTTTGGCAAATAAAGCACATTGAGTGAATGAATGGTCTTTTTAGGGAGACAGGAAAACTGAGTCAAAAAAGAGGAACCTGAACCCATTTTTCCTGGCACATTGCCCCAGGTCAACCATGAACCATTTTTTTTTCTCTGTAAAAATAAGTCCATCAGACAACGAATAACTCTATGACTATTATGGGATTATAAATCCTACAATCCACCTGTACTTGTCTACATTAAAATGAATTTCTTCTGGGTTCTTCCCTGAAAATGTTTGCTCATGACTGTCAAGATACATGGGCCCTTCCCGCTTCAAAACAGTGGTAAATTAACTAAATTTAGCTTAAACAGTTTCTGTGCATAGTGAACTGCAGCATATCTTAATCTGTAAACAAACCAAACTACACTCCAATTTAAGACTATATTATTGTAACAAATAGCTGAGTGTCACCCAATCACAGCACTGAAGCTCCAGCCAATCACAGGCTGACAGCCTATCACATCATACTCTTACCAGAAAAATGCTGAGATTGATTATCTGTTATCACTTCCTGTTCCTGTCTATAAATAGCACCTTCTCCCTGTGTGGAGTTTTTGAACTTTGCCTGGTTCTGAATACTGCTGAAATTATGAATTATTCTTTGCTCAAATAAACTCTGCTAACAATTCGTCAGAAGGTTTCCTTTCTTTTTTTTCTTTTTTGGTACTGGGGATGGAACTCGGGTCCTTGCGCTTGCGAGGCAGGCCACCGAACCGCTGAGCTAAATCCCCGGCCCAGAAGTTTTTCTTTTAACAAAGGTATGATTGCTTGCGCTTTTAGCTTTAAAGTGCCAGGTATTATCTGGGTGACAATGAATTCTCTGAATACGTCTTATAAGTTAGATACTGTTATCATCATTAAATCCATTTTACAGATTGAGAAAACAGAGACTAAGAATGACCAGGTCAACCTGGAGCCTTGCAATGAGCTATATCCCCATCCCCCATCATGTTTTGTTTTGTTTTTGTTTTAAGTCAGGGTCTTACCAAGTCACTAAGTTGTCCAGACTGGGCTCATATGCTACCTTCCTGCCCTAGCTTTCCAGAGTGCTGGGATCATAGGTGAGCTCCACTATACCCAAGTCAAGGTGGGCATCTGACCATCATGCTCCCCACTCAACCAAACCGAAGCAGATTCTAATATAAATATTCAGAGTACTTCCTGTGAGCCCAGGACCAGTGTAGGCAGGGGACGCACACCAGCTAGCAAAATCAAGCCCCCATAACATTGGTGCTCACAGACTAAAGGGATAGAACCAACAGGGAAACAAATAACTGTGGAATGTGATGCCCAGATATGAGAAAGGATAAAGAGGGAGAAGGAGTGGAGGAGAGAGAGATTCTTTGGGTGAGGCACTTGGGGACATGGAAGACGTGACAAATGTTTCGCAGTGCACACTAGAAAGGGGACCCTTTGGGGTTGACAAGATGATCCAACAATGAGCCTGGCTCCTTGGGTACCTGCTTC